ACCTGTCCATGGCAGAGCAAGCCACAAAGCCCAGGAATCTGCCTCCCTAACCTTTGTTTTAATCACAAGCTAGCATGACTACCCTGGACTCACTATGCAGAAAAAGCCAGAGAGAGATCAGCATTATCTGCAGTTTTGCTTTGCTCCTTTTATTTCTCTGTGCACTTCCATTTATCAAACTGCCCAGGTATAGAATTGCTCATAGAGGCAAATATATTTTTCAGGCCACATTGTCCAGAATGCAACAAAACAATATATACACCTCTGCCAATCCTGCATCCTTTGTGTTCACAGAAACCAAACTAATCAGTGATGTCAATGTCATCTTACATAAGAAACATACGAACATAAGAACGGGGTCAGACCAAAGATCCATCTAGCCCAATATCCTGTCTTCCAACAGGGCCAATGCCAGATGCCCCAGAGAGAGTGAACAGACCAGGGAATCATCAAGTGATCCCTCCCCTGTACACATTCCCAGCCTCTGGCAAACAGAGGCTAGGGACACTATTCCTGCCTACCCTGGCTAATAAACACTGATGAGCCTATCCTCCATGAATTTATCTAGTTCTTTTTTGAACCCTGTTAAAGCCCTGGTCTTCACAACATCTTCTGGCAAGGAGTTCCACAGGTTGACTGTGTGCTGTGTGAAGAAATACTTCTTGTGTTTCTCCATCCTACTGGAAGGACAATCAAGAAAACAATATAATCTTTGACTGCAACAGGTCTGCTTATCTCCTCAGATATGTTGGAGAGAGCCAGATTATGCTGTTCTTATTTGCACTGCATAATATCTAACTTGATTCTACTAATTCTGAATATGCTTGGCAGATGCTCAATTCATATGTATATTAGTGTCCAGTTGCTGTTTTATATCAGGCAAATCCAATCTTGCAAAAGCAATATGAAAAGTGACTAGCCAAGACACAAAATCTATTTGCACTGAAAAAAAATTAAAATATTTTACTTGCCCATCAAAAAAAAAAAAATCTAGCTTCTGGTGAGTGCATGAACAGAATTGGGTCCAGTGGAATCATCAGAGTATCTCAGTGGAATTTGGAATCATCAGAATAGCTCAATGGAATTCAGTAGCCATTATACTGCTCATTAGGCTTGATAGGTCATAAATTACTTTCCAAAGCCTTTTCCTATTGGTACTAATGTGTTTGCCCCTCTTATGTTGATCAATTGGGCACTCAGTTAAAAGGATCAGAGCAGTATTAGTTTCTTTGGTGTTTTCAAAGGCAAGAATGAATTTCACACCTGTCTGAATACCGCTCAGCAGCAGGTAAAGAATGTTGCCAGTTGGCAGGAGTGCTAATTAGAGGCAATTATAAGCTAAATGACCCTGCTTGGCATTTAAATACCTAGCAGAACTCTGCCTTTTTGCAAAATGGAGAACTTGCTTCTATGAACATGTCCGATAGGGGAAGTTCATTTTTGTTTGAATCAAGAAATAGGGCCCAGCCTGGTGCCATTAGCTTCTGTGGCAGAAAAAAGTCACACTCTGGGCCTTTTGCCAAACTGGGGGACATTGTCTAAAAATGCCATGCGGTCACACCAGGGTTAGCAACTTCAGGATCCGGTAAGGATGCGATCAGCCCCAAACATCACGTTAATGAGAGCATAAGGACGGCCATCCTGGGAGCAGACCAATGTTCCGTTTAGCCAAACATCCTGTGTTCTGACCTCAACCGCTACCAGATGCTTCAGAGGGAATGAACAGAAAAGGGCAATTATTGAGTGATCCATCCCTTCTCCTCCAGACTCAGCTCTGGCAGTCAGAGCATGGGGTTGCATCCCTGATTAGACTAGCTCTGAGCAGGTTTAATGGACACAGAGCCAAATGCTGCACCAGCTTCCCTGTTGACTTTAATGGCGTTACGCCTGCCGAGAATTCAGCCCAGAGTGTTAAAAACAGCTGTTGCCATGGGGGGCTTATGTACTTGAGGATATTGCAAGGGGGTGGCGGAATTTTAAAGCTATCGTGGTCCTTAACAATTCCAATCAAGGATCCTTACACTGGGTTTGGTTCTGCGTACTTTGATATTTGCATGAATACATCAAGTATCTTGAGCCAGATGACTGCCAAGTCATACCCAACGTGATCCTGTCACACCAGTTACAACAAAAAAATACAGAAAATAATTCCACTCTCACCCCAGTCAAAGGCCCCCATGCAGAAAAACCCTCTAAATCAGTGGGAGATGTAAACATGGGCTTAAAATTAAACACATACTTATGTGCTTTCCTGAACTGGGGTGTAATGGGGTAACCTGCAGGTGTCAACAGAGTTACAACAGTGAAAGACAGGAGTGCAGGAACAATGTTTATAGTGGGGGTGCCAAGAGCCATTGAACCAAACTGTAAACCCTACATATAATGGAAACCATGCCAAATCAGGGGGGTGCAGTACACCACCCCTCATTTTAGCACCTACGAAAGATGAATCGAACACAGAAGCGTCTAAATTCAAATATCGCAGATTTGAGCTCAAGCAAAAGGAATTGCTTTGCTTATTTTTACAGCAATAAGAGGTCAATTTTCTCCCCTTGCAACTATTCAGCAGTATCTCAAAGTTGCCTTTAGCTGGATCTCATATGTTTATTTTGACATCAAAATTACAGCTGCTTAATTAATCTCATCTATGCATTATTTGTCTTGTCTATGGGACCTGTTGGCTGATTTGAGGCTGCAATGCAGCTGCTATTACTGTACAGTAAAAAAATTGTTACAAAGTGTTATAAAGCGCCTTATTGGCTCGAAAGAAACCTTGCCAACTAGAAGGAGTAGCCGAACTCCTGGTTATCAACTCTGATTTGTAACATAATATCAGAACGATAGATAATTTGCCAGTGGGGTGATTTCAGTTTTACATGTTATGGGTCTGTCTGTGTATTCCTTATAGATCTCAAACTCCCATTGATTTCTGGAGGAGGTTTTGAGTGTACAACGAATGCGGGATCAGACTTTTAATGGGCTTTGTGGACATGATGTTCCAAGAGTCCCTTCATGCCTATTTAAAGGATTGAGGGTTTAATAGAAAATGAACGTGTTTACCAGTTAGTGGGGGCAGGCCCTGTATCACTCATCTATTTCTAGAAAGCTTATCACTGAAGTATCAAAGTGAGACCATCTAGGCACCTGAGTCAAAGCTGATGGAAGTAGCAAGAGTCCGATCAAAAATAATTTTGATAGTGTGATGCACTAATACAGAGCCCTTCTTCCAAGAATGTCCAGATCTGCAAAAATATTTAGGTGCATCTCTTTGAGGCTCTGGACGTAAGTTACTACAGTCTTGTGATGCTATAGCGGCCTGATTCACTGAAGTGAACAGCTCCAGGTTTCCTTGTGTGCATTCCCATGAGACCCTGGTATGTTTCATCTTGTCATGCTGCCTTTAGCCTTTTGAAGTTCTGGGGAAATCCAGGTCTGATTGTATGGATGAGTAATGCTGTAGTTATCTCTCTCCCCCACCCCGCTCCCCAAATCAATACGATGAGGTCCACATACATGCCAAAGGCAAGCGAAAGCTTTTGTTTTGTCTGCTTTTGAAATACGGACATTCTTTTGATATTTGAAAGCAAAGAATTACCATAGAGGCAACCAGACTGTGGTGAAAGGCAGTGTAGAGCAGGATGAAATAGAACTGTGTGTAACAGTTCTACAGCTGGAAGTCTGTAGATGTACAGCACACATTTCCCCAGCCACCTCCACAGGAAGCATTTGTAAGCAGCATTTATTCAATCCACAGAGCCTATGATTTCTATTAAAGCAAATCAATGTTTCACACACTAAATACAATTATAGCATCAACACACAGAGTGCTCACTTAAGAGGTATTTCTCTTCAATAACTATTTTTTCTGGCTCCTTTTCAAAGAGAAAAACCCAGATCCACTCTACCTGTGTCTGTTTCTGACACTCACCAGACAGACCCCTATCTCTGGGTTCATCTCCGGCTATGGTTGCATGCACATGTCTCCATATTGCTGTGTGCCTGTGCCTTTGGGGATATTTGGGTGTAAGGCTCCCTGTGAGAGTGCCTGTTTTTCTGTGGCTTTGTCTCCACACAAACTTGCACCTGTTTAGTTAAATCAGTTTACAGTTAAATTGTACCACTTCTGGTGTGGGGGAGGGTCTTTTGGTGTTCGAGGGGATCCCTTCAGTTTACCTTTAGCATCACTCCTAATAGAATTCAGATCCATCCAAACTTTTCTCAAATTGAAATAAGCACCTCCACCGGGTCTTTTGCACCCCTGGTCATCACACCTTGTGTGAAACCAGCATAACTCTGCCTGTAGACAAGCCACAAGTACCTCTGTCAGTCTCTCCTCCTGGCCTGTCTGTCCATGTGTTTCTGTAACTCTCCTGTAGATCTGCCTCTCCATTTCTATGTGTCTGTCTGTCTTTCCTCCCCTACCTCTCTGCCCCTGCCTCTCCATCTCGTTGTCTGTTTCTTTGCCTTTCTTGCAGTACCTGTCTGTCTTTCTGCCTCCCCTCCCAGGGGTTCTCGAATAGTTTTTATAGTGGGGATGCTTGATGGTGGAAAAACAACAACACACGGATGTGTTAGAAACAGCCAGGAATCCGGTGGCACCGTCAGGCTGCAAGCTTTATGCTGCAATAGGATTGTGACTCTTTCGGGTGCCCCGGACTGACTCCCTGTGGTGTTTGCTGATACAGAGCAACCCGGCTCCCTCGGAAAGCTGCCCGGGAGGGGGTGGCTGTGGGTACCTCACCTCCTCCTGCCTTGCCCCTCTCCCCAGCGCTCCACGCCCGCCCGTCCGTCTGTCCCTCCTCCCCTCTCCACAAGTGACACCTTCAGCGGAGCTGGCTGCGGGGCCGGGCCACGTGCCCCGGGGGCGCCACTAGGAGG